TCTATGTTGGCTTATCAAGGAATTATGCTGAATTTGACAATTAATCAACTGTATGAATTGTATGGAGGATATCACAATGAAAAAACTTTAGTTTTGATCTGCCATAGTTTTATACAAGACCCAAAAGCCATCATAGTGAACGAAAATTTAACACAATGAGTAATCTGCAAAAAAAAAAGATAATGCATGCTGTATTCGATACTAGTTCATCGATAACTCTCACTATAACTAAGTTTATATCAATCATTCGTTTATTTCCGATTTTTCAGAGTTCAGGTAAGCGAGGAAAGCTTGAGTACTTATGGATAGTGGAAGAATTCTGAGCGGTAAGGGACAGCCGTGTTTCAATAAAAGGCTTAGAACATCAGCATTATGCAAACTATTGGCCGAAAATATGTGTCTCCAGAGCTCCAGAGAAGTATTTTCGGTGCTCCTCTCCCATCTGCACCCATACTCAAATAAAATACTTTATATTCTTTTTCAAGGCTTTGGTAATTATTCAACAGCTTGTATATCGGAAATGTGAAGGGTCTGTTTTATTTTTCAAATGGTTTCTATATTATGCTGTAAAGGTGAAGTCAAATTTTCGGTACTCATGTATAAGAAGCCGACAAATTTTTGAGTAGATCTTATTCGCTGGACAAGATCTTTTTTGGAAGTGTTAGCAATCATCAGAAAGCCAAATCTCTAGCTACAACTACACTTTGATGGTTTTTCAGAACACCTTTTTTCATCACTGTAACATAGAGAATAAAATTTCGTTTCTCATTTACCTTTCGCCTTAACTTTCACCACGCGTATAAATCGCTGGAAGCACGAATAGCATATCAGTGTGTAGACAATTTTCCGTAGCCACAGAATCTAGGTTTTTATCCGAAGTTTCTATTGCCGTGGTGAAAAATCCCAAATCGGATAACGATATTTCAAACGCGATCGGTCGTTCCGCCCAGCTCCCTTCCTCAGCTCCATGAGTTGGCCGGTAAGCAAAGTCGCCGAAAAGGTGCATAGGTGAGTGAATATTGAAGGCAAGTACTTGCAACGACTTGTTAGTAAGATAATCGCCTGGTCTACCGCGTAACTCTACAGCGATGTACCGCATTATGCGTTAGAACGGTGGCAGCTATCGCTTTTTTATTGAGGATTTTCTTACCGCATGGACACAAACTTCAAATAAAAACGCTTGATTTTGACACAACGGAAAATTTTGCACACGCTGACATGCTTTTCGTGCTTCTAGCACTTTATACTCGTGGTAAAAATGAATGCAAAATGCGAGTGAAAGATAATTTTTTTTGAATGCTACAGGGTTATAGGTGTTTTAAAAAATAGTTGTAGGCAGAGATTTAAGATTTCGAATAACTACAAATACTTCTATGAAAATTGCCTGTTCAGCGAATGAGAGTGGCTTAAAAATTTGTCAAAGCTTATCATACATGTACTAATTATTTTCACACTAAGCATCTTACGCTGGGCAAAGATCTGGACATTTTAATGTGTGTTAAAGCTAAAAGATTATTGAGTTTCGTACTCGGCGCCGTGTCGATCGCCGGCGCAATTTAAATGTGCCCTTCGGTGCGCATTTAGTGTAAAACTCAATGTTCTTTTAACTGTAACGACGAACTAAGAAGTCTTCTCAAAACCCTGAAATTTTCAAGTTAAATTTGCCGAGATTTATGTTGCCGAAGAGCTGCTGAATTTTGAGGAAAAGCGTTGCTCATCGAAATATGCTCGAGTGTTTAATAATATATTCTTTTCTCTGTTACAGTGTAATACAGAGACCTTTAAAAAAATGAAATACGTCTTTCAATTTTTTTCGAGATTTAAGCTATCGAATGACTACTAAAATGTCTACAAAGAGCGAAAAATACGTTTTTCGAATATGGGTGCTGATAGAGGAAGTAATGCCGCGCTCTTCCTACAATCACTCGAGCTACATATTAGAATTATTTCCACATAAACCTCGATTAGAGATGTTTAATTGTAGAACCTGTGTTTTCAAGCTACGTTCTCGCAAGATAGGCGATACAAATGCTCAGTAGGGGTTGAAAGTTTATTTTTGCACAAGGATGTGGTATTACCGCTGAAAAGTGAAGAATTGCTAGAGGAGTAGTCACTCTTTGCATCAAAAAATCTTTGTAGAAGGCTCATTCGTGGTACTCCATCCTTTATGCAACGATGGCACACCTCTGACTTATGAAATTCACCTATAATTGCCTATAAACCACCTATGACGTCCGAGCGTCGCAGTAGAATTTCAGGCGTGAAATGTGATCTTCTTTTCGCTCTTACAACGTTATATAACAACAAACGAGATTTGGGCATATCTAATGAGTATTAATACGTTAGTGAAGAGCCATATAGCGGCCCCAGCCGGGCAAATTAAGAAAATTGAGTGAGAAAAAAATCCTTATTTTCGCTGTTATAACGTAATAAAAGCTTTTTTCTCAAGCCAAACATGTTTTTGGAATCGCAGAAATTTATGCTTTCAAATGATTGCCAAATTCCTAAGAAAAAACTTTTCTGCAGCGAGAAAGGTCTTTGAACAATCGTATACTTGAGCTGGTATACGTCGTCCCTTAGGGGTTATTAAAGAAGGCAGGAACTTTCAAGTAGCAGCCGAACACAGACTCAAAAAGGCAGAGCTTCGTGGAAATCTATGGGAGGGAACGAATGGAATGCAGCAAGCGCAGGAATCCACACAACAGAAGTGAAAGACCAGCTGTGCAAAAAGTAAATCAGCAGATCAACTTATTATGAACAGCTAAAATCGCAATTTTCGCTCTCGTAAACACTCGAAGGATAATATTTATCTTGGGATTTCGAGTTCTAAGGTGTTTTGGACCACTGCTATATAATTCGCGATAACAACAATAATAAGGGGTCAGGAAATGATGGGTCTATAAAAGAGACTTCATGCTTTTATGAAGATTTTACAAAAAGGTCACTTTATTTCAAAGTTATTCAGAACCGAAATTTCTCAATGATAGAAGACAGATTCAGATTTTTAACATTTCCAACGCAAATCCCCTATGCGCAAGCGATGGGTTCTCATACCATCGTACTCTGATGGATGAAATCTAGCAATAAAAAAAATTTATCTTGCTCAGTTTAGGAAACGTAGACGTTACGGGCAGAAATTTATGCAATCCAAGGTTTTTATATTAACCTGAGCGGATTTGTCTTAGATTTGGTAGTAACCGTTATTTTTGCACTGTAAAATGAAATTTAGTTCCTGGCAGACTCAAATATTGATGTAAACGCAATTTACCTCTGAGAAAACAATTCAAGTAAAGCAATGGAAGCACCTTGATTAAGAAATGCTCAATGAAATCTGGCTAGATTCATTTCCAGTAGTAATCTTGATCTATACAGACCTATCGCATGGTGGAAAAAATGAGCGACTGTCAAAAAATTGCGGTAGTTGGGAACATATGCAGATAACACCATACACACAGCAAGTCGTTAATAATCACATCACATGCGCTCACAAGAACATAAGAGATACAAGTTATGATCTCGTATCCTCTAACAGGAAAACTGATGATGTCATCAGAGACTTTTTCTAAGCATTTTTATTACAAACCATTCTTCTAACTGCTCAAGTTTCTGTGATAGTACGGACAGAGCAATGTTAAGAAGCCAATCGAGAATACGCACTAGTCCCTAGTTCGACACCCCACAGTGTCAATCAAGACTCTCTGTGCTACGTGATTAGGAAATTTGTACTATAATTGTCGAGGAATCTCCCTACAATACACAAAGGGTGTTGAGTTTGGTGAAGAGATAGAAGCTCTCTAGCATGCCATACCAAGACATCAATTAGTACCTACTCAAATAGCAACAAACGACATTCACAATGAAGGCGCAAGCAGCAGCGGAGTTCACACTCAAATTTAAAGGCTTTTGTGGAACATCGATGCAAGGAAACGAAGAATGAGAGAAGTGACGGGTTCTCACGATATGACACAGCGCATCCTGTATAACAATAAACATAATAGAAAACAAATCGCTTTTTTTTCCTACCTCAGACAACACTGCTGACTATCAACCGATCTAAGAAAGCTTGTGTGGCAAGTGGAGAGGTATAAAAAACAGATTTCCGTAGAAAAAAACTTGAAACCAAATCATTGCCGGACTGGATTGTGTGTAATAACCGGAACTGTGTTAATCATCGAATGATCTGGCTTAACATCAGTAATGTCGTTCTCGTCGTTCATCAGAGTTGCACAATGTGTTGCACTCGTATATAGGAGAGAAGGAGCAACAAGATATTTGAGCTAATTTTTTTCAGGATTTTGGGTAGGATTTCGATAAATGGCAAACAGAGGTCTGCGATCTCTCTTTTTCTAAGCCAAGCTAAAAAAAAAAGTGTCGAACCCCTTCTTAATTGGTAATCGATCGTGCTAACGAAATGAACATCCGCTGGATATCTAACGCATCAGAAAGATGACTAGTTGATGTAAGAGTGTTTTGAAGTGAGTCTCACTACATGATTACCCTCTATACAAAGAAGAGCTGAATTTCTTTAGGAATTTAGGTACTTACCGTTATCTCGGCACTGTCTGAGGCCTCGTGTAAAAACGCATCTTTTGCTTCAATGAAACTTGTTGGTAATCGTTCAATAGCTCAGATCAATTAAATTTGAACGGTATATCTTATTTCTCAGATGACTTGTTTTTAGCGCTATAACAGCCGAAATAAAATTTTGTTTCATACTCAAGGGATTTTCCGCCGGATAGAAATTTCCTATGATCAAATTTTAATCATTAGGTAGAGCAAGTCACAGTGATTTCAAAGGTACGCTAGGTTTTAAAATGGACTTCTAAGCGCGCTGTAACAGTCAAAAGAAAATTGGATTTCGTATTCGGTGAGTACTTCCTGTCTGCTAGGGTGAGTGTATTAGCTGTATTATCAGTGCGCGTCACGAATCAGATGTGGATTTTTTAAACCTTATCAGGATTCATATATCTCTAAGAGAATTGAGTGGTGAGCACAAATACGATCTCAGGCGGGAATCGAACCCGCGTTTCATCCATACCGAGGACGCGCGTTACTATTACACCACCGAGGTATATTCGCGCCACCACTCATTAACCTACTATTAGAAACTTGAAAATACTAGAAAATTCGAGAATTAGCAATTACAATGGTTGTCAGCTCAAGTGGGTTTATAAAGCGAAATCGCATACCCGACCAAACTTGTTAAGGTTGGTGGCTGACAGCTAATATTGAGATGTTGAATAATGAGTGGTGGCACGATTGTATCTCGGTGGTTTAAAGGTAGCACGCGTTCCGGTAAGGATAAAACGCGGGTTCGACTTTCGCCTGAGGTCGTATTGTTGCTCACCACTCAATTCTCTCAGGGGTATGTGAAACGTTAAGACCCTGCGAAAAATGTAGTAAGATACTAGAAATTTCGAATATAAGGATTGTTCTGATAATTGAAACTTTCTCTACACGTTCATGGGCTTACTTCTAGAAAAAAAAGATTTGTTAGGAATGATTTATTGTGCTTCAAGGATTGACAAACTCATAGTACAACAAAGATCACTTTTCAGGAAGCCAGAAAACTTCGATTGTATCCAAGAGCGACTTATAAAATTGTTATTCCTGTTCATGACTGCGCTTCAGTTTACTTTTGAGCTGTGATTCATGCCGAGATCTCTGTTTCACTGTTAAATCGACGTTGACTCTTCAGTCCAACTGTGTAAGAAACGAAAAGCAGTAACGAAGGAATGATGGGTGTTCTCGAACCATTTTCCGACTCTTATATCGAATCTACCGCGACACCTATGCTTATTACATTGCTAAATAAGTTTTAAGCAAAACTGAATGTTCTGTCAATGTCCTTTCTGGCACAGACGTTTCGATAGTTACACGCCGTGATTTTGTAAGGACAGCCTCTCTTGCGGTGGTTGGTGAAGCCAAAATGCTCATGATTGAGTGAACTCGATGAGAAGCAGAAAAACAGTTGGAAGGCAGTTGATTTGAAATGACTTACTCAATGTGGCGAATGTTGAGATGGTCTGGTGCCTATGCTGCAAAATTCCATCCACATACCGGCAATGCATGGTGGCGCGGTGCCCTTGTGACAATGCGCGACATCTAATTTGCCTTTGGCTGCTGTCAGCTCACTGAAAAGTTCTTTTGAAAACCAAATACATTATTGGAATCGGCAGAATCTAGACAATCGAATGGCTACTGAAAGTCGAAGGGAAATCCTCTGTCCAGCGAAAGGTGCGCCAAAACGTCTCAAGTGTGAAACATAATTTTATTTCAGCCGTTACAGCGCACTCAAGATTTTCTTCATAACGCAAGTATATTATTGAAATCGTCTAGGCTTGATCTATCGATTGAGCCACAGAGTCCCTTCAGAAAGTTAAGAAAACGCCTTGCTTTCAAGGGGGTGCGGATAACAGCAATTAAACGAATGTGTGAAACCCAATCGTGTATTAGGCGTTACAGAGCTGTTAGAAGTCCCTTTTGGAATATATCCGTATATACAATTATCTTACCGATTTCAACGCTATACAATTATACCGTTGAAATCGGTAAGATATGCTCCATCTAATGATTAAAATTTGGTTCTCAAAGTTTCTATCTGGCGAGAAATGCTTTGATGCGAAACAAAATTTAAATTCGACTGTTGCAGCACTAAAAACACGCCATTTGAAAAAAATCATTCAAATTCACTTTTGAGCTATCGAACGACTACCGAAACGTTTCATAAAAGCAAATGATACATTTTTATCGATGGCCTCAAACAGGGGCAAAATAATAGAAAAGTACCGGAACTTCATATTGCTAAAGTATATAAGGTGCTGTTAACATAAAGTCCTACTAATCAACCACAATTGAGCCACGTTTCGTTTCAATATGTGTATTATAAACGTGAGCTTGAAAAAGATGGGCATGAACTCAAAATGACAAAGTTCAAACAAAAAATACCAATCTTCAGGCAAGATACACAGCTTCACATCGTTTTTCCGTACTGTGTATCAGCTGAAGCAATCTACTACCAACTGATCGAAGTCGTAGGAGTGGAATGTTGTTCGGATTAGCGGCGGGGGTAGAGCGGGGGTGAAACCGTTACACCAACAATCGCTACACTGTAGCTTACGCGGCCATTTGAGCTAATCGTAAGGGAAAAACGACAAGTTTATCCAGTTCATTTATCTGCAGAGTTGCCCAAGTGACGAGATTGTAAGGTCGCAACACGTGTATCGGGCTGTACAAGAGCCCATACCAGAGCACATGACATTTTGTATCAAATAATAAAGAAGAGATCTATCTGTAGAGCTGTTGATAGTAAAAAGAAAAACTATAGAAATTCTTTACGTACTTTGACACTCATGTTTTCGTCTCATTTAGACATTTTGCAAGATTACTGGAAAAGTCGATGGTTCGCTCATGGCTCACTAAACTTTCCCTCCCTCCGGGGTCGGTGAAATGCCACAAAATTTGTCCTGACCAGGTGCATAAGTAGCCCACCACGAGCCACTGTAAAGGCCAGATACGCATCGATCACCTCTAATGAAAATTTGATGATTAATAGTGCATCTCTCAGGAATTAATCAGCGCTGAGAGCTTTATCCTTTACGGAATAAAATCTTCAGAATGAATTTATTCCAACACACAGTTGACTTGCAATCAACCGCTTAAGAACAGGAGATGAAAGAGCGGAGCAAAAGCCTTTATGGTGCAATGAGCAAAAAAAAAAAGTCTACAGAAAGTATGATCGCGAGTTTGAAGTCAATCTCAAATTCCGCGCAATGCTCATATCTCAAAATTCCTGTGCTTGCATTTCATATCGTACCTTATCACGAAGAAAAAATAATAGATGTGATTTATAATGGTTGTACACTACTAGTGAATGAATTCCATAAACGAGAGAGAAGTCTTTCGTGATACGCCATGAGTTCAGTAGTAAAATGTATGATGATAATGAATTTTCCATGAATTGTTAGCATTTTTCAAGCGCCTCATCATATGACTTCATTTCGCTTTCAAATTACTGCACAATGATCAATGTTTCTCAAAAATTTTTGACGACAACGCTGCTGTTCGAGTTTTTTCTATAACTATCGACAACTGTTCGACCTCTGGTATGATTGAACAGTTGAAAATTTCAGAGCTATATTTCAAAAAATTGAGGTAAGAAGCTTTGAGAGTAAAAACAAATGTTATAAAATACTCACTGAATGTCAATTAAGTACTGATCTATCATGGCGCCGCCACTTGAGGCCTTCGGCAAAGACGTATTTTTTGCCTTTGCAAAACGTGTTAGATCAAATGAATTTCAATGGCATGTTTAATTTCTCAAATAGCTTATCTTAGGCGCCGTACCAGTCAAGATAAGATTTTATCTCTAGTTCGAAGATTTTTCACTGAATTAAAGTTTTGTTGTAATATACTTTTAATCGTCAGACAGAAAAAATCTTTGCGATTAAAGTCGTATATTGGCTTTCGGAGAGGACTTCTTCGAGCTTTGTACCGACCGAAAGAATATTGGGTTTCACACTCAGTGAACAATTCTAGTCGGTTAGAGTGCGAATTGCAAAACTCTAAGAAGTTCTTTCTAAAGAGCAAACACATTTTCTTAATCAAAAGATTTGCGCTATCCAACGGTTAAATTTTGTTATCAAAAACTTTTATCAGGCGAGAAATTTTCAAATGTGGAACAAAATCTCATTTTGACTGGTACGGCGTTAAAAACAAGCAATATGAGAAGTAAAATATAACCTTAAAAATCACTTGCTTTAATACATTCGTCAGATAGCAGCAAAGAATACGCTTTTACCGAAGGCCTCAAGGGCGCCGCCATAACAGTACCGCCAATTATGCTCAAAACTAAGAATTTTTGAGGATATAAGAAACAATTGAAATTTCTGAAAACTTCTACACAAGCACAGCAGCCATAAAAACTCCTGATAATCTGGAAAACACTATCACGCCTACAGGACAAAATCCCACTTCTTCGATTGCTTTAGTGTCGAGATAAGAGCTTTCTCCCAAAGGAAGTAGGGAATATACCTCATATAATAGAATAAAAGGGCAACTATTTCGTAGGTAAAGATTAGTAGATTCTGTTGGTTTTCACTTAAATCAGATAAAGCTCGTTCTGAGCTGAAATATTTTAGCTTGAAGTTGAAAAAGGCCAACATCTTCACGACGTACACATTAAAGTATGACGTGGTTACAAATAGTTTAAGCAGTATTCCATGAATTTACCTTGAAAGAAAGAGGAACTAAAGTTTGTTCATAAGATTTTAGTAGTAGTAGAATAAAATAATCACTAAGATTTTTCTTACTCTCTATGCAGCACAATTCTGCCAGCATAGCCTTTACATGTGAACAGGAATAGTGGAAGATCACTTTTTGATAATCTTTTTTATACTGAAAAGCATATATGAGGCTGTTATATAAACAGTTTGATGAGAACCATCATGTATAAAATGACATCGCCAAGTGAGGTATTTCAATCCGATCGGTATTCCAACCCAAGAAGATTCGCCTTTTTGAATAGCTAACTATTTGAACAGCTGCTGGAAATCCATATCAAACCCTTCGCAATGTTCCCGAGTTTCACAAGACGCTAACTGAAGAAGTTGGTAAGAAAAAAATCTTGATAACTTCTTATCTGGTTATGCGTCAAGACGACGAAGCCGGGAACAGCCCGACACAGAAAACATTGGAAGAACGATGCCGTTCCCGTGAAACCCATGAGAATCGACATTCAAGGCCTCATGCAAGTTAATTCCATTCATACATTGTTGAAAACACCTACATTTTTTCAACTTTGAACAATATTTGAAGCAATAGATATTAGAGCTTGAAGACCTAAGCCAACAAATTACAAGTTTCTACAAAGATATAATCCCGACTTTTCAAATTTTATAACACTTTTGCTCATTTAAAATACCTGTTGTGGTCCATCTTTCAATCAGCACAGCGACTCATCAAACGAAATTTCAATCAGAAAATGTGATGCCACTGAAAACATCGGCGATGTATGATCGGCTACGGAATGCTGATTTGAGAAATTTCTGAGAAACTGAATTCTTAATGAATTTTAGACCGAAATAACATTTCAGAAAAAAACGTTTGCATCATTACCGAGGTAGCTTGAATGTTGTTCTATAAATCCAAAGTTGCCGAGTGACATGGAAAACATGAAGCTCAAGCGGGAGTTGACCCAGTGTTTTGGATACTTCTGTCAAATTTTCCTCTCATTAAGTATTTTTGCTTCAAAAAAATGCTCATCAGTTCTCAAAAGCTAGGCGTCGTCCAATGAAGCAGAAGACAAAATCGAGAGCACAGCCATTTCAATCAAAAAAGTATGTTGACTGAACATGAAAAATAGAGGAATGAAGCGACTTTGAAAAACACAATCGAAGAATGGAAAAGTTTCCAAAAGTTCTTCGTTTCATCGCTTCTACAACAGTGTAACGATGTTATAGTTGTACATCCACGTTTGTTCAGGGATATGCAAAACTCTGTTACTCAGCTGAGACTCGTACCCGCGCCTCAACCATACCAAGGCACATAATACCACATAATAGCACCGAAGCTCTTGACCTGTTACCACGCATTCTGAGATATGAGATATCGAAGCGTTCATCAATAACCGTCAAGAGGTTTGTTCTGGTAAGTTCATAAAAAATAAAGGATATAGCTTTTGATGTTATTCGATACCTGAGGAATGCGCCATGCACTAGCTTTCATTTAGCATCGTTTGAGGGGATCAAATGCAAGGTAAGCATATATCGGCATTGAATAAGGTTGAGTTTACAGCTACTGGATAAATATATAATATATATATATATTCTTCTAGTATAAATAAGTAAAAAAAGCAAATATGTACGCACTGATATATTATACATATATAATCTACAAGAATTTTTTATTTAACTCTTGCGTGATGTGGAAAACTTTGACGTCAAGTGGGATTCGAACCCGCATTTCATCCTTTCCGGGGGCGCGTGCTTAACCAGTTGCACCACCGATGCCTGTTTCGCCACCACTCTTTCCACGCTGCAACGCAACAATCTGTCGCCAAGCACCGTCAACGCATTGAGGTGTAAAGCCACATCGGCGATCCCAGTTACGCTGACAGATATTAGATATATAAGATCATCAAAATTTTTTCATTTAACCGTTTTTTGCGATGGTATGATGTCACAAATATTCCCAATAATGCTGAGTGATGTGCAAAACTTTGGCGTCTGGCGAGATTTGAACCGCGCATTTCACCCTTTCCGAGGTCACGTGCACCAATCGCACTATCAACGCTTGTTTTGCCACCACTGTTCTTTTATTTTACCGCTTTACTAGTAGTACTATAATGTTCTAACTGATATTTATAGGAATGCGGAACAATATGCGGAGTTTCACTCTCAGCAAACCCACGATAAGGGCAAAATACGGGTTTGACCTCTGTCTGGGCTACAACGCTTTCTAAATCACTCAGCATTTTTGGAAAAATGATCAAGAGATTCTTTAGAGTAATATGGAGAGGATTTATGACATTTTAATGTAATGAGACTGAAAAACCAATGATGGAAATTCCGAGAAGAAACGGAGAGTGATCGCCGAAATTAACGATGCCAAAACATAATGAGAAAAAAAAAAACAAGGAGCACGAAAAAGGCATATAAGAGGCAGCAAAAATATGAGTATACACTTGCTACGTTAGTTTTCAGAATCTCTTATAGATATTGTAAGAAATTCATCAATGAATTATTAGTAGACACTTCAGTACAGCATGCTAAAATGTAGAAGCCAAAAGTTTGGTCATTCGTAACCACTTGAACAAATCCTATCTTGACATGACTTAAGTCCCCATTCATAGTCCTTCGATTTTACTTACACTACTTACTACTGCTTCGATTACTTTTTTTCGATTACTTACTATTTACTACTACTTCGATTTTACCTACACTACTTGATACTTACAGAAACTTTGGTTTGTAATAAGAAAATAATATTTTTCAACAAATCAGAGTCAAGCTACTTATGTCAACTCAGCAAATATTTAACATCCCCTTCGCAATTTTCGAATTCACTAAGAGTTTGATGTGAAGTTGAGTGAAAAAGTGACAACACCAGACGGCTGATACTTTGTTATTAGCAAAGTGGTATGCTTCATTGACCGTGGAAGCACGACAGCAGATGTTGAGATAAGTAGGAGACTGCTAATGAAACTAGCTTTTTTAGACTATTTCACAAGTGAATAACTCCTTATTCCTATATATACAACTATACATAAGAATGATAGGGCTTGCTGGAAGCTTATTTTATAGAAATGTAATTGATGTGCAGTATTGGATTAACATTATAGAGGACAAGAAGGAGAAGAAAAAGTCTCAAAGACGTAGTCATTCCTTATTATGCAGCAGAACCTTCATCCAGCCACTAAAAAGCCGCGCGATGTAGCCGGTATTTCGCTTTGTTAGGCGATTTGAATCTTTCCTCACGTATCTTCGTCTTCTTGTCGATCACTTTTTTGTTGTTTCTCATTTCTAGCATCAGATCCTCCCTCGGTTGGCAGTGTTGCCGTTCCTCGTCCACTCGTTATCTCCCACTCCTAGCACTGATTCCGAACCAATTTATAACTCTTTTTGTCCGAAATTCTCATGCAGTCACTCATACCATTCCTGTCACGTGACCTAGAAGATATGGTGCCGTTTTTTTGGTGAAAATTACTTCTTCTTATCATGAAATGATCCCCGTTATTGTGTTCTCCTGACATCTTCAAAATAATCCGTACATGACGGTCTTCTCTTCCCGAAAATTTTAGCACCGTCTTTACGCATTTTTCGATCGCTTTTTCTGACGAAAAGCAATAGATTCGACTGCAATGTGTTGAACATTCTGTCGGAAAAATACTATCAATACAACTTCCTTTTTCAAAACATAAATCATTTAAAAAAATAACAAATCTTAATAGAGATGGGACGTTTTGATAAATGATGACAACAGTCAATATTAACTGTTTCCGAGAACTAGAACAGAAACAATCCTCACATATCAATTGATCGATCTGGGCAATTCTCGCTGACATAAACCCCTAGTAGCATGTTCTCGTAGGCGGTGGTTTGAAATGAAACAATTTGCGTATGAATAATGATCATGGAATTGGCTAAGATTTTACATAAAAGTCGCTAATTTTCAGAGATAGATAGACTTATACTAATGATGAGATAGAATAAATGAACAGGAAGTAATGAATACAGAGCGATGATTACCAGGAAATGAGCAATTACGACCACTTTAGAAGATTAACAAATGGGGAATCCGAAAACCAAAACTAATGAAAATAATTTTTGAAGTCATTCCACTACAAAAATGTAGCTCAGACAAATTTATCATCAAATAGACAAAAGAATAAAAAGATGAATGGTCTAAATTCGCGCTGTGAGATAATCTAAGAGATCTGAGCAGTCACCATGAGTGAAGACTTTGCGAATTATGAACGAATTACTCGGGAAATGGCTATGGAAAAAGTGCGAACGTGACTAACTGACAACATGTTCATCAAGTTTACACTTCGAACTGGTTTCCAATTATTGCAATGGAGTATGGCCAGCGTGGAATCGAAATGGATGTGAGACATAAGTCGGGAGTATCAGGATGTGCACTCTCTCGTTTTCCTAATGGATTACTCGAAAATTACATGCTAGCAATGGTGGACAATTGAGAATAAATGGGAAGAACCTTGAGTTTTCATAAATACGTTGCACTTGTAAATGTCCAATTCCACTCCACATTGATAACTTAGGATTACTGCCTTAGGCAAACTCTTTGGACTTCGATATAGGCGATTAATATCCCGTTTGTTTTGTCAGCTAACATGAGGTTTTTATAGATCTCGTGTCAACTCACGAGTAAAAAACGGAATATTCTTCAAATTTCTTTCTTCTACAGCTATGAGAAAAAACTCCTCTTTACCCGTTATTCTTAGAGTGTTTAAATATAAGCTTAAAGCTGTGAAATAAAGTCTAATGTAACACCTCGTGTTTGGCTTAAAGAAGAAAATCAGAAATTATAAGCTCAGACTTTTTTTTGCTCTGCTGCAACTTCATGGAGGTGTTCTGAACATTCTGAAATGTTCGATGACATGATCCACTCGAAAACCAATCTACGAGCGAGTTAATTACCAGTTCATCCGAACCATGAATTTCGGCTCGTTTATCATGAAAAAAAAATTGATCGCTTGGATGCTTCCTCATGATTTTTGTCCACCTTCTACACGACAGAGTAACATGGTTCTTTTGTTACTTTTGTGCATTCTATGTCCTGATGAGACCTACCACGAAGGCGATAGTGTAGGTTCAGGATCGTTGTGGACCTGGTCACAGACGTAGACGGGGCGGGGCCACAGGGCGTGCGATAGTCTTCGGGTGAACCTCTGCCGGAGGCATAGGTGTCTATGCTAACAAAACGAGCACGTCATCGTTTCATCTACGAACAATGTTGACGTCTTCTACACTGGCAGCGTTCTGCTGTGCAGCTCTAAGCTCTCTGAGTATAGCAGCGCCGACCAGTGTACCACAGAGCTCACCATTCGTCCAGCATCCAGATCACATGAACAACGGGACACTGTATTCGATCAGTGCCTTCTCACCAAAAGTTTTCGTCCGTACCGACGAGTTTGAATTGAACTACAAGTCCTGTGTACAATTCTCCTATAAGCTGATGAAGGAGAAAGTTCGGTGAGGTGTACACTGCTTGTTTCGTTCATCATCCACTTATTTATTTAATCTTGCATGCATTTTTTATGAAGTCATAAGCAGTTTCATATACTTTTTCATCTAATTTATTGTGTCATGGTCTCAGTGTCGAACAATAATTACGCGAAATGTTCGCAAAAACTGCGAAAACGACCTCATAGGTGCGTATCGCTTCTGTACAGAATGTGACGTAAATTGACTTTATTTTCTACAAACACAGACTTTACAAAAATAATTTGCTATCTCGCCTATGACGCGAAACACTGAAGAAAATTGCAGTGGTGCAAACATCGAATACTATCACACTTTCCATAAGAGCGATAAGCCAAGCACTGATTTTTTGAAAGAAAAAAACAACGTAATATTCTTCATTGACAAACGTTCACTGTTCCTCCATCTGGCGCTATGCTAACAAAAGCACAACGATATAGGAGCACTTATTAGACCCTCTTCTTAAAAACTCCTGTCTCAAAAAGAAAGGAACCCTAATCCCCTAATCCTATGTGAAAGAAACTTTTCCTTATCATAACGAATGCCTGAGATGGAACGTACATCTATGTCAGCACTAAACGCGAGAAAACTAAGTCAGCAATTCTGATTTCAACGCTAGTGAAGAGTAGTGCTCCTATCAATATTTGAACCCTAAGCCTAAGCGCACTCTCGTAAATTCTTATTTCAAGACATTAATTCAAAAAATACTTCAAAGATTGACGGGACTAGAACCCTTTAAGAGGGCTCTCACTTTTGAAATCTCGGTAGCTTCAAGAAATTACCAGCTACCATTAGAGCATGTCAGAATCACTTTTACATGATTTTGAAAAAATATTGCGAAACACAAACGTTGATATAAGCATTTTTTAGACTGCGTGCCTATGCCTGTCTGCTCTCCGAAGGCGGTTTCTGTACACTGGATAAATTCGCTTTTCCTAAACATAAAGAAGGTTGCGCCTATCTTCGTCCTTGGCTCTTCCCTTTTGACAGGTAAGTGAGCGACCAGATATTGAGTGCCAAAAACCACTGCTTAGCTCAAATAAAGCAAGAGGTATGATATAAATTATTGAAACTTTTAACTCGTTGCAGGTACTCGTTCTACTTCGTACTAGAGTACCGTCCCCGAAAATACCGTAGTATTAGAGACAAACGTCATCGTCGTATCCTGAGAAGGAATGAGCAATCGTCGACCACCCCGTACGGAGATCTCGAACTCTATGGCATCGTACCTTGTGAAAAGGTCTGTGGAAAGAAGGAGGCCAATAATCGCACTTCTTAGCTTCGATT